GTCTTGAACTTTTATAAAATGGTCATTTTATATAATTATTTACAAATAAATGGTATTTATATGTCATTATTTAGGTCAATTGCAAAGTGTTTGCACTCGTTTGAAAGCTACAAACAAGACGCGTTTAACAAAGCTACTACCATGGATGTTCATGCAATATTTTTTTCGCAATGCAGTTGTAAAGTTATGTAAAATGAATATTTTATATATATATTTATATATAAAAAGTCCCATTTATAGCCTATTATTCACGTTAAATTGAACATAAATAGGTCTAAAGACGCGTGCTGGTACCTTGAATGCAAATAATTATCAATGGGAAAGCTTGGGCTACAATATCAAGACTTTTTGGGCATATTCTTCTGTTTTCAATGAATTTTACTTTATTTGGCTCCCCTAAACAATTTAAAAATCCAAAAAAATCCATCTTAAAAAAATTATAACTCCAACAGTTTTCAAGCTACGGCAATGAGAGACATACCATTCGATTTGTAAAAACAATACCTAGCGACTTTAGAAGTCTTTTTTAATATGTGCATGGTTTGACTTATATATGTGTTACTTAAATATGTAGCGGGCGCTACCGCTACCGCTACATTGCCTTAAATGTAGAGCCGCTACCGCTACCGCTACTGAAAATGTAGCGGCCGCTAGTAGCGGACGCTACATGTAGCGCGCTACTGCCCACCTCTGTATACAATATTGGAGGAAGGAACCAAGGTGGTATAATCGAAGCAGGGCAGTGTTGGTCTCCAACAAGCGACCCTCTCACACGACGTTTCTCTTTCCCCTTTCAAACGGCTTTCCTTTTCAAGCTCTTCTGATGAAACATTTTTTTCCAATTTCTCTACGTGGATAAAAAGTTAGAGTCCCAGGTTAAGAGAGAACCATTTTTAACATGAATTGAGCATTATAGGTAGTTTCTTTTCTCATTTATTCCTTGAAGTGTGACAAACAAATAGGTCTTCCATCATGCTCGTTTCCATTTGAATTAAAACTAAATGATGCGCATTTTGAATGTATGTATGGCCTAAGCATTTGTATGTATTTCTAAATGTATGGCCTAAGCATTCGTAAACATTTTGAGCCTGTGAAACGAGCTGTGTGTAGAGCAGGTCTATCTACAAAACTTCATGTTGTCTAAATATTTTCTAAATGCAAATTAACTCACATTTACCTTCAATTAAAAAAAACTGAAATTTTTAAAAGATGTTTATCATCGCAAATGGATTTTTGCCTAGAATCACACAACACACGTCTTAAATTGCTCGTAAAAAAGGCGCATCATGTTGAGGATTTTTCGTTTCGTAATTTATATTAGTCGTAGCTCTAAGGTAGCCTTTTTAAGATATTCTGTATGAGCTTATATCTCATTGCAGGTGAATCGTTTTTGTTCACTGGTTGGTCAAAACATCTTAACAAGTGTTTCCAGAACTTTGTATGTTCGATTTTTTTTTCTTTATCATAGAATTTATCATTCAACAAAATATTTAAGTCTGCGGGTTAGTACCATGCTCTCGCCATACTCGTATATATAAACTGTGACCGCAAAGATGAAGATCTTACACTCGCCTCTCAAATTTTAGTAAAATTGTGTTATATTTTTATAATATTGTAAGGTAGGCATTAGCATGAACTAAAATACATGTGAATTAGGGAATAATGTTTAACTGCTATTTCTAGGGCAAAATTCGAGCTTAGCTATTTGTGATCGGCGCGTATCATTGTATGCCATTGCCGCCAAGAGTTCGCAAGTTTGAGGTTCAAGAAAGGCTTTCCACGGCTTGAGAAATAGGCTTACGGCTTGAAAATTCGTTAGTTCGCGGCTCAAATAATCCAGTCGCGGCTCACAGAGTCGAAGTTTTCCTCCCCTGCATTAACACGTGCTTAACAGCCTCAACTCACAGTAAAGACAAATTTTATTGTTGCAATTTGACTGTTTTAGGGTAAATTAGAGATTTGGGGTAGCACGTGCATCATGATGGCGATGCATGGATGTTGTAAATAAATTTGCGCCTTGTAAATGGCTTTTCATGGCTGAGATATGGAATTCCAAGGCTCGGTGAAATGGAATCATGGCTCAAAGAAATGGAATCACAGCTCAAAGAAATGGAATCACGGCTCAAAGAAATGGAATCACGGCTGGCAAATCCATAAAACCACGGATCAAAAAATTCAGTTGTGGCTTGCCAAGTAGATATATTCCATGCCTGGCATGAAGTAAAATACATGTGAATTAGGGAATAATGTTTAACTGCTATTTCTAGGGCGAAATTTAAGCTTAGCTATTTGTGATCTGCACTCATCATTCATGCCATCGCCGCCAATACGGCAATAGTTTACAACTTCGCGGTTCAAGAATGGCTTTCCACGGCTTGAGAAATAGGCTTACAGCTTGAAAATTCTTTAGTTTGCGGCTCAAAAAATCCAGTTGCGGCTCGCAGAGTAGATTTTTCTCCCCTGCACAGCAGTATGGCATAGGCCGTAGGGCGTAGGGAGTTGCTTACCAAAAATACTGAGGAGGTTAGACAGCATGGGATAGAGCTGATGGGCGGTTTTAGATACGGCATAGAGCAATTGTATTGGTGGCTTACTTCTCAAGTTCTCAATACCTCATTAGCTCGCTGGTTCATTTCCATGAACTTGAAGGGGATTTGTCCCTTTGGCTTTTAACATATAATCACTTAGTCTACTCTGCCCTTTAGCAGGCTTACGCACGGAAAGGAGTATGAAAGAAATGCTGGTCTCTGGCATGCATCCCCCCACCTCGCCGTAAAGCGAGGCGGGGAGGGTCATCAACAACAACAACAACGATGAAGTTGCTGAAGTGGCGAACGAATGATTAACGGAATGCTGAGGCTGAACGAATTTCGCGTATTTAGCAAACATGAAAGTAACGGTCCTGCTGATTGATTCTATGCTGAAAAATTAGGCATTGGTACTATGCATATCTACTTTCTAAATTCTACAAAAAAATTTGTAATACAAATGCTTAAAAAGAGACTAGGTACACTCATTTTTTACATGGCTACGGTAAACGTATAGCTTAATCATGGTTTGAAGCTTCAAATCTTATGACTACAAAAGCATCTAATACAGATAGTGCGGAGACTTGAAATACGATGAATCAATCACTCGACAATAAAACTTGACACTCGCCAATACTGCTTGAAGTTGCAATGAATGCGTACAGTTTAAGAAGTTCAACGCTTATATCTCAGAAAATAATCAACCCAGAGAGTACGGAGTGATGAAATAAGATTAATTAGCCACCTATTCAATGAAAATCACTACTCTGAACTCTTTGGGTTGTACATTTTCCGAGATATAAGCGTTGAACCTGTGAAACCGTACGCGGTCATAGTTGCTTTACTCGAGTTTAAGCACTAATACTAATAGCGAGTGCTAAATGCTATGTTTGAACTATACAAGGTTGACCTACGAGGAGTTCCGTCTTTCAGTTGAGCTTTCTTGTTACGTCACGTAGATCAAGAAACGTGAACAAACCCGCCATTCCCACGACGGATTGGTCGACTGGTTTGATTGCATTTGAGTGATTGGTTAATGCCCTTGACGTCACTGAGATCAGTGACATCACAGGCGAACAACAAACTACATATGCAAAAATGGGCTTCTGATTGGCCAACCTTATCATTTATGCCAGTTCAACAATGGCTAAATGCTATTGCAGGGTGAGTCATGGTGATTTACATTGAATAACTTAATAAGCGATCCCCTCATTTCATAACTCCGCTCTCTCCGAGTTGAATATTTTCCGAGATAGTAGCGTTGAACCAGTTAAACCATTCGTGATCGTTTTACTGTAAACACAGACATTAAGTGCTAAATGCTGTTACCGAGTGGCGAGTGGTGAGTTGCATTAAATAAATGCTTGATTCTCCTTATTTCACCACTCCGCACCCTCTGGGTTGAATATGTAGTGAACGTCTCGAAAAATGTATTATTTCATTTTGTCATGAATTATAAAATAAGGCATATTCAGGACAATTATAAATGTACCTAGTTAGCCTGCACATACGTCTGATGACAATATTAAAATAAAATAGAATTTCATAATTCAAAAAAGATAAACAATGTTTGTCAAATAATAATCTAGACTTTTCCCAAAGTGCAACACTGAGCCGAAATGCGGATCATAACCGATTTATTCACTTGGCATTACCTTGTTACCTAGAGCACATTAAACTGGGGTAAGAATCTAATAATAATAAGATTTGTTTATTTTTGTATCCTCTTTGTGTTGTGAGGTGTTGCTATTGTAATGACAAATATGTAACTATTGTCTCATATCAAAACAAGATCTGCCATGTGGCAGCTGTGTGAGCCAGGTCTCATAGTGTGGCACAAGAGTCGTTGTAAAATTTATCTCAAGGTCATCTGGTCGTTGAACAACCGCATGCCAGTCGATGGTCGATAGGATTTATGCAGTCGATAGTCGATAGGTTTCTTCAGTAGTTCGATAACTTAACAATGAAAACACTAGTAAGTCATGTTGTCAGCTGCTACGACCTATGATATGTATGTGTTCTGTGTACTGATTTATGTAACATTGGCAGGTATTTGGTCTGAGCTACTCTTCTAGACTTCTAGTGGCATCCCTCTAATGTCAAGATCTAAGAAAGAAACTTGAAAAGCATCTCTCCTTGTTTGAAACACCCTCCTGATACCATTAAAATTTTGTGGATGTCATTCTAGAATCTGTTCATGAACTTTGAGGCTAGAATAGTGAGGTCTCACAAATACTTTCAGCGATATCAATTGCGCTCAGCAAGCACTGGTCCAGCTCATAGGCGACGAACCCGTAAAACCTGAAGCGAGCGTCAGGTTTCACTAGAAATAACAGGAGACAAGATCGTTAAACGTGTTTAAGCAGACAACGGGTAAATCTGTCTCAACGCCCTGGTTTTAGATTTAATATAATATGTAAGGTTGTGATTCTTTTGACACCAATGATATATAGTGATATTCGATTACATTACCTCCTAAAGTTACGAAATCTCCAAAATCGCCGCCGCATTCGATCGATCTATTATTCGTCATGTAATCTGCACTTCAGCGTCTTCAGTTTTTTAAGTGTGACCCATCCGCAAGACCAGATAGAAAAATTTGAACGACTTCGTCGACGAGGTAATGACTTCAACAAATAACACAGCGGGTAAAGCTTTCTTCTCAAGAATCGGCAACAGGCCATGTACCTATTTCTTCAGTGCCGACACTTCTACTGTATTCTATATCAAATAGAATTCATGCTGTACTGTTATGAATTAAGTTCTCTTTTTTTCTCTCCATTCACATTTATTCGAAAAAGGCGGTTGTTTGGTGTTCCTGCACAATTGGTTTTATTCTAAGTATCAAGCAACGTTTTATGGGCACCATTGTAACATGTCACTGTTAGATTACTCGATACATTTCGCTCTACAGTTAATACGTCGGTGCGTAGAGTTAGGTTTATGCAATAGCGCTTGAACATTAGGTTCTCAATTAGCAAATGGCGAGCGCCTTTTTCGTGAGGCTATTTCTGGAGAGGAGCTCGATAAGTGAACAGTCTCAACAGCGACTCGAGAGAATGAATCACAATGCAATCGAAAAAGATGAACAATGTTTATATTCATGATTTATGTTTGAATAAAGATCACCTAATAGGAGAATCAGGAAAAAATTTGAAAATTGGCAATTGATGATCGCCTCACTTCGATCCGAAAGGGTTTGCAAGTAAGTCACGCGTACGTGCTAAGCATAATGTTCTTACTATGTTACTGATGACGACAAGATGGACGTCAGACGGTCAAAGTGATGGTCCCGGATGTCAGAGAACAGCCATCGGGTCTAAAATCACGATCTCTATTGAGGAGCCCTATAGGGGTCGCTGATCTTCCCTGCTCTGTTAGAAAATTCCTCTCCGATTTTTCAGTAGTGGACTCTAATATCGTCACATACGCCGACGACCCCACTATCTTCGCGTTCTAACCGAAGCTCGACGATGCGAAGGCGGGCGAGGGAAAGCACCTCATTCAGATAAATGCGAGAATTTTCCTAATGGCGATTTACTTTTTGCTCAAATGTGGGCCATTTTGACCCGGTTTCGTCATACTGAAAGGTGTAACAGTACTCCGCCCACATTTTGATAGAGCCGGGCGGTAAGTGTCACTACTTGGGCAATATGGCCCACCAATTTTTATCAGCCAGAGCGCTAATGCGCTCTGGCTGACCGATCGCAGGAAGGGGGGGAGGGGGTGTGTGGCCACCCCTACTAAAGAATGGTTCACGAGCGCGGGCTCCAACGGAGGTGCGAAGCATCCTCTCCACCTAGAGATGTCTACCCGCATCGACAAAGCCTATGCGATCACCGCGGCCTGGTCGCTCATTACTAGTCCAGCTCCGCTCAGTTTACTTGCATCATGTACCTTAAAGGTTGGTCGTACACCAAGCGCCGCCTGCCCTGAGTGCGGGGATCCCCTCCTATCAGTCCAGCATCTTTTTGCCTGACCTTCCTGCCCTACGACCCTCAACATCTAGTCTCTAAGAGATAATACCATGGAGGCGCCGACCCAATAGGCTACATTTCTTACCTTCGACCAGATATCTTCTGATCGCCCTCCCTCGTTCACCACCTGAGCTTGCCCCTCATGCGTCGGCGCAAGAAATAACAAAAAATATATCCTCCTATATTAATGACAAATATCATCATTAGTTTACAAAGATTTAATTGAGATTAAGCCATTCAGATTTTTTCACCGGAAGTTAAAAATAAACATCCCCCGCACGGCAGAAGATCTCGATTCTTAAAAATTTGTTACATCATTCATCACCCACAAGTGGTCAAGTCGCTGAACCTTTTAGGGAAGCAACAGTGTAACCGTCTCAAAGAGACGAATTAATTAAAAATTATTAATTAAATAGCAACAGCAATGAAGACACACGTACAAGATTTCGCTTACACGAGAAGTCGGCAGCCTGCAAGAATGAGACCAAGGAAAGGAATGCATAGATAGAATTCTGCTTAAATAGCAATGTAAACCCGCAACCGAGACCCACGGTCAGACACCGCGAGCTCAGTGGTGGGACGCTCAGGAACAATGCTTCTATGAACTAATATCATTTGAATAAGCAAACAAAAAAATACTCCATCTATTTTGCCCCAGGGTCTTATGAATTGGGAGTGGCTTCCCATCGCCAAATGGTGGCGTCGTCGCAGACGCCTATGAGTATTGACGCGTCACGACTGAAAGCAGTTTGGCGTATGGCAGCTGTACAGCGCGGGTGGCTGAGAGTACTAGGTCGAATCATTCGAGGATCTGTTGCTGTCATTTCCCACACGTAAATCTTTCCTTGCTGGTTACCTACTGCCAACATCTGAAAAAAAATTAGCAATTAAAATCAATTTTATAGAATAGTTTGGATATATACGAAGCAGGATCTTCATCATCATGGTTAGTTTCATAGCAGGATCTTCATCATAGTTCATCCAGTTGAAATCTAGGCCTTCTGAATGATTTTATAATTTCATTTTGACTTGATTGAATTATTTTACACACTTGATACCTCCATCGTATATTAAAAACAAAAACAATGAAATAAGCAACAAAAATCGTCGGAAATCGATTTATCCTTTGGGTTTCACAATTTGAAATATATTTGATTTAGTTTCGAGAACCAACTCACTCTTTGCCAAAAGTCCAGAGAAAAGCGCATGAACCAAATCTGGCATTCCTTGTAGTCGAATTTGTGCAAGATCGTCACGTTTGTGTCGTTCAGCTTCAGTTCTGTCTGATTTAACAAGCCAGGCTTCCAGCACACGATCGTGTTCTCGCAACTCTGCAAGGAGCACATTTTCGGAATTTTTATCTACCAGTGAAGAAGAAACGTAAGTTCAGCCTGAGACAATTCCAATCTAAGTTATTGGGAAAAATTTATAAATTTCGATTTGTAGAAGTTAGTTTCTAAAACTGTTGATAACGATAATAAATGTATGTGACTAGAAAACGACACATTTACGCGTATGAAATAAAAATGGAATGACCTAGTAAAATTATAACAGTGGAGAAAGAAAAACGCACCTTAGAAAGCACGAGATTACCCAACCACCTAACGCAGTCAACGTAGTTTCGGTGGATGTCCCGGGTTGAAAAGTCGGGAAAATTTTGCTCAACAGTTGCAAAAGGCTGATTAGAGCGCGCTGGATTGAATGTGTAAGAATCTTTGATAGCGTTTTGCATGGCTTCTGTCGTGAGGCTCCAAATCTTGAGCGAATGATCCATGCCACAGGACACCAGATAACGACCTTCCACGTCTATGTCCTGCCCACAAAACACCATAAAATAAGGATACATGAACTATGAAAACATTTTACCGAGGCAATTGAATAGATTTGTCCATATTTTACCATACAAGTTATTGAAATATTAAATATATTGATGTCGTAGAATATAAGCAGGGCATTGAAGAATAATAACTACCATCAAGACAAGCAGATATTATAAACAGGTAGAACAATTTGCAATGCAAATACTTGGACTGATGACAGTAGACATGTCGCTCTGACAGTCATTAAAAATGACTGAAATTACTGATTACATTAAAATGACTGAAGAACCTGATTGGAAGACATCGACATAATATACATACAAAATAATTTATTTTGTTTACTCTTGATATAACGATTATTTTAACCAATCATCCCGAGCATCGTTTACAGCTTGCATCCAGCTAATCTAAGAAAATCATGCAAATTAGATTCAAATTTCGAATCCAATGGATTTCTCAACACAATTAGCATAATTTATTAGTGAAAAATAGATTTGAAAAAAAATCATATATCTATTATGTTTTATATATTGACGCCAATCAAATCATATTGGCATATACTGTATTAAAAGCATGCTTGCATACAAGTGCACTCCAATAGAAATAAATCGGAATTATGACTTCCACTCAAAACATTTATTTTGAAGGCATCACTGACAGCGCTAAGGACTTCGTCCCTGTGAGCCTCAACTCCACCGAGCAGAGCGACGAGGATGTCAGTGCGCACGTTCCAGAGCCGCATCGCGTGGTCCTTGCTCACAGACAGCAGCAAGTCAGGGTTCCCAGGGTGGAACTTTACTTCGTTAATTGCATTGCCGTGACCTGAACAAACAATTCAACAATAAATAAAACTGTTCCATTAATGGAGAGATAAAGGAAACGATTTCGCTGCCTGGTTTCTCTATTCAAACACAAATTTCAAAATACGGAGTAGAATAATAATTCAAATTGTAACTACCTATCTAGCTTGCTCCTCCATTCAAGAATAAAAATATCTTGAAATGAGTTGTTCAATTAGCATTCAAATTTTCTTTGCTAAGCAAAGCTCTTTTAAGGCAAATTTGATTAATATGTTGCTCAAATTTAATTGAGTTAATATTGACTACTAATCTATACTGCAACTCTATATTAAATCAATTTTTGTTGGAATTTTTCATACCAGTAAAATGTTTAGTGCAGGTCATGGTGGCAATGGAGAAGAGTCTCACGACGCCTCGGGCACCGCCGGCAGCCAGCAGAGGGTGTCCAGTCTCTGTATCATAACTCCAAGCGACGCTATAGAAGTTTTCTTCAGGCTGCACATAAAAATATTGTACTGAATTTGAAATACAAGGAAAATGAGGAACACGCCCTCCTCATGGTCCACCTCTAAACGCTGAATCATAGCTTGTATCACTGACTCAATTGGCATAATATGGTTTCAGCACTTTTATATTCATTTCCATTGTGTAAAGGACCTAATATACGACTGAAATACTGAAGTAACCCATTTATAAAGAAAAGGCTGATGACCTAAACAGAAATGATAATACTCAACTATCTTGTTATTTGTGAAATAACACTTGCATAATTGGCTTGATGCGAAGTAAAATATTCATGAAAATGATAGGTGACAATAAATCGTCAGGACGAGTGATGGAACGGCCAGAATTTTACCCTTTAACGAAAAAGGCAGCTGTATTTTAATCTTTCATAAGGTAGCAGCATTTTACATTACCTACTTACAGTGTTAATTCATTTGAAAATATATTAGAGTGAAATGAGGTGGTGATGAGAGGCAAACACAGGCCAAAAGCAACATTGTCAAATAGATTGCAGAAAATAAAGAATTTGTTATTTCATTTTTATTATTATTATATTTTTTATTGAACACACAGAAAAAATTCTTGGCAAATTTGTTGCAGAAGTTCTAAGACAGCCAGCATGGTGCTAAGAGAAAAGCAGCACTATCATCTCTGCACAAAATAAAGGGTGACAGAAATAAATTGGAGAAAAATTTGCTTGAATACGTAGTATGACCAAAGGGCACAGGCTGAGAATCCTACTTACCTTCTCTTCTTCCAACCTGTACCCAAAACTTAGACCTAGATTCGGACACAAAGAATTGTTTCATAAACCACACACAGCAATTAGACAGCCTTAGAAAAGATGCAATCTTTATGATTTTAAAGAATAAACCTTCAAATTGTATACACAATAGAAAAAAAGCTCTGGAAGCAAGACTTTTCAGCACATAAGAGGCCTAATGATAGGTTCTGTTTGGGTAAAGACTGTGTGTGACTAAAATGCATTCATTTACATCAGGATCAGCATAGCATTGTAGCAGACGAATGGAGGCATTCTTCTCGCACTGATAGACTGAAACTCTGTTGCTGCCAGCAGTGGCAAACACGGCAGGCTGCCCTTCACCCAGATATTGGTTGAATGCAACTCCAAAAAGAGGTTGGCCATGATCTTCTTTAAGAAATGATCTGTTGAATGATGTAAAATTTTCAAATTGCAAACTGACATTCAATTAATCAGGATTCAATACTAGAATATTTTACATACCGTATCAGTAAAAAAATTATTTATAATAGAAAGTATCAAAATAAACATGAACAGTGAACTCCAGAGAGTATTGACAGTTCACATTTACAATTTTGACCCAGAATTGATGATTTCATCTTCCACATTTTTTGAATGCATCTGAAATAATTCTTAAATTCAATTAAAGAATTTAAATATTACTGTAAGGGCATGAACTGGCCATAATTGAGAATACACTATTAAATGTAATCAGGTCATTCAACTTTCATTGCTTTTCTAAAAAACTCAATTTCATAATTAATTTATTATTAAAGTTCAACCAAAAATTGTATGCTTAACATTTCTGTCAAGAAATACATCTAGCCCTAAATTATGTCATTTTAGAATGATCACTTGAAGAAAAACACATTATTTCTTTCCTATGAACTGAGCTACAAAACATGGGATATCAATTGCATTAAATTGTATACCTATTAGAGTGTGAGCCTGGCAAGTGAATGATCTGCAAGTGATGAATTTGAATTTTTAGTTGTTCTAGTTTCTGAAACTATAGGATGCTGGGGTAAAAATCTAGGAGACACAAACAGAGCCAGATGAGGGAAGTGATATATTACCTACTATCTATACTTATATATGTGCTCACACAAATTTATAGAGATTCTGAGGAGGTAGGGGCTGAGGAGCTTTTTTCCTGCCTCTCTTGGCTTTCCCACGTTTATGAGGACCAGCAGGCGCAGACATTGTTGGTGTGGTGGATCGAGATGTGTTGTCTGCATTGCTTCCACTGCCCACACTCCAAGTGTCCTCCTGAAAAGTATTAACAAATCCAGTCAATACAAGAGAGTTATTCTTTGACCTTATCAATGAATCTTTGGGAACCAAAACATTTACTGCCATATGGTATTGAACAAAAATTTGAACTACCTATATCAGACAATTAAAAATGAACTGAGTCTAAGATGTGTCATTGTACAGCCACAGCTGTTGGCAGCAGCATGCATTGAACATTTTGTACAGTCACTAATATGCAAAATTTCATCAAGTCATGGTGATAGACTGATAGGTCATGATTGTGTCATTGCATGGCTGCAGCTGGTAGCTGCCAATGCTGTCAGTAGCAGAAGCCATTTAACATAAAAATTTTGTAGCTAAATTAAACCAATACTTGTTCATGCATAGTTTTGCAATTCAAGTAAACATTTGCATGCAATTTTGCAGCACTGCATCCAAGCTTAAACTATTTTGGCACTTAAGGCATTTTTTCTCAGAATATTTTTGTGCATGGTGCAGATTGGTTGATCCACAATAAGAATTCACATGTACCTGGCACTCAAAAAGGAAGAATCTGAAGAGTAAAGAAGTCTCTGCCTTGCCAAAATGGTTACCAGATAATTAGCATGAAAAACATCTACCTTAATAATTGTGACGAGAACTTTTCTGCCATTTCTGGAACTGCAAGATTTCAGAAACAAGTAGAAAAATTTTAATCGAGGCAGATAACAGTCTGGTTAAGAATGCTTTTGAGCAGCAAAATTCTAACTACAAAAATATTTTTAATTATGCTTGTTAACTGCTAAGTTATAAATTTGAACTGCATACAGACTGGCAAAAATTATTATAAAAGGAATGCTTCTAAACAACCTAGTGAGGAAAATACCAACTCTCTGAACCACAACTGGATTTTTCAAGCAGTGATTTTATGGATTTGCAAGCTGTGAATTCCATATCTCAGCCATCACCAGCCATGAAAAGCCATTTTAGTGGCAACTGAACATGTGATAATGCAGTCTGACCACTCTGACATGACCACAACTTTGCCATCTTCAACAAAACATTTTAGGTTAACTTGTTATCATTTCATTATGCTGGATATTTTGGCTGGAATGTTGAAGTACTGCAGAAGTTGAAAATTTTATGAAATGACATGTTTGCAAATTGCAATGTGGGGTTGTGCCAACCCCATGGTCAGGAAGATGTGCCAGGTGCGCCGGAATTTATTTTGTATTTAACGACCTGCGAGGTGCGCCGTACTATGCTGGTAAAAAAATGCAACGTACGCTGTACTTTAGAAAGCTAAAATAGTTCTACTATTTTAGTCGACAATATACACGAGTATATTGACTACGCGAGTCGAACTGACAATAATAAAATATAAGACATGTCCGGGTTACTTCTGACTCTTCCGCTTGTCCGCCTTGTCGGATACGGAACATACGGTAATTGTAAACTGTGGCAATTATACATACAAAATGTAAACAGACGGTGTTCAGTGTTGCCATAGGACTTTGGAGAAAATTTCTTCTAAAATAAAGTTCTAGATTTCTCATTCACCAAATTTCCGTATCAAGAAAAATCATATATTATTGAAAGATAATTAAAGGCATACTGTACTGAGTAATGTGAGTATTACGTCTGTTCCTCCACAAACTGCTCATGCACGGCAGCGCGACGTAGAATTGATGGCCGGGATTGCGCGAACAGCCGAACACGTGCGCGAGCCGCGAAGAGAATCAATTTTCATTACATTGCGCCAACTGTGCACAGCAATAGCTTAAAAAAAGTGAAAATGCACGGGAAAATTCACCGAAAACATACATCATCCTGAGTATGGTGCCAACCATGATTTTCCCAATCAAACAAAAATACATGACAGTGTTGACATAAGAGCTGCGAGATTTTATACCTACTGAAATTATATGATATCAGAGCTGCAATATTTCAGAAAAAGTAGGACATTTCCCTTTCCCAACTAGTAAAGTACTAAGTAAACAATTGTATATCACTTTTCCTACGAGGCTCGGAGGCTGTAATTTCAACATGAACATTAATATCACAGCCTCAAAGTAAAAGCCTTCATTCTAAAATTCCATTAGCCAAAAGTTGTTTTAAACAGCCAATTTGCCAAACAATTTAAAGGTGATGAAAAGTTTTAAAACAGCCTTGTTCAAACTCAAACATAGGCTAACAAACATCAAGAAACATCAAACATGGAGCCAGGATGGAATTCTAATTTCGGAGGTTCATATATTATTTCGATCCACCAAGACCACTTCTTCTATCCAACATTGTTACTTGAGGCAAAAAATGAACTTCTTAAAGGCTTAAAACACGCATGCTAACTTGCTCAGTTTCTATAAAGTACCTAATCACTTGGAAGTTGTAATGAAAACGCGGGATGGCAGACGAAATCATTCAGAATTTGAAGTGAATTGATCAAGATAAATCCAACATAATAGGGCAAAAAATTCAAATCTGGAACGTATAAATAGGTTTTTATAATTTAAAAAAAAATTTCAATCATTTAAATCTCATAATGGAATGTGAATCAAGTCTATTTATTGTGAAATCAAACTAGACACAACCAAAACATAAGTGTGTGACACCGTCTTGTGAGAAGTAAACAGAAAACGCCATGTGAATGTAAGCAATGAAAGAGTGGAAGTTTATCTAATAATTTCATGTGAAATCGAAAACTTTGTGGGTGTTGTCCAATCGTGAGAATTTTTTATGAAGCTGGATGTGTTTTTTTTTTATTTTAGAACGTATTAATTGCAAAAATGTGTCCGCTAGCCTACAGATAAACGACTAGTTAACTTGATTAGTCGTTGGCAACACGGGATTGGATTTCAAACCACGCGCAATTTCGGAAGTACAGCCGTTTCAAATGTGCTCAGTTCATCAATTTTCATTGCAGTGGAAGCCTGGAAGGTGGTGTAACGTGGTAGGGTTGGTATTTCGATACGTTTTCTTATATTGACATGAGAATATATTACCTATACAGAATTCCACACTGCATGGAGCCTCATGATGGAGGTCATAATTTTCATTATACCAGTTTAACCGATTCAAGCAAATTGAAATGGTTGGTAGGACTTTACTGGTCACTGGACAGTTAGGACTTAGGACTAAGGAGTAGGTATACAATATTAGTATACGTATACAAACATGTTACATGTGCAATGACAATTGACAAGCATTATTGATGAGCGGTGAGTAAGATGCATTAGGTATCTGTTCATGCTGTCATCACTTATGGCGACTTTTGATTAATGTCTCGTATGTCTTTGACACATTTGACAATAAATGCTTAATTGCTAATAAAACAAACCATATCTTGATCTTCCGAGTCAGCAATCGAGCTGGTGTCTCCATTTGGGCCAGTCATGCTAGAAAATTGATGCTTAATATGGATTAGCTTATAAAAATGAAGAAAAAGAGATTAGCTCGAGAAATATGGGCTACCAAATATTCTACTACTGAGAATTCAGAGGGCTGAGAGGGGTGTAGACCGAATGGTCCTTGAGACTCCACTTAACACACTCGCAGGCAGCCAGGCACTAACGAGTAACGACAAGGGCGAATGGCGCGAGCGTTTTGGATTTGCATTCGGATAAGATAAAGATATCCGCTGCGCCGAGAGAACTTGATGGCTTGGTGAAGCCATTTCCGTACTGCGAGAATTTTGACTAATAGATCTTTTTAATTTTAAATTTATTCGCCATCTAAATTTTAAATGATGGTTCCACAAAGTTATCGCTAATAATGTTTTTTCTTGCGTTTCATTTTCTCTAACTTTAGAGAGATCGGTTTTATCCAGCACCAACTCAACCTCACTCAAGCAGTGGGCTCACATGGGTCATGATAAACCTTCACAGCCATAGTGAGCAAGGACAGTAATAGAACATCTTTAATCCTCATGTGGCCTGTCATAGAGGAATCAACTCCACTTAGGTAAATGGAGGCTTTGCCTACTGTAATGGGGACTACAGTAAATCATCATGGACGATGAGCTAACGAGGAAGCGCTCCTTTCTGCAACACACGCGATAGTCAGCCTTACAACGAAATAAGAAGGGTCTACGAAAGTCATATAAATGATATTTTAGATTAGCATATATCCTTTCGTACTATCACTTCAGTTCAAAATATGCCGCGCCGAATATCACGTACGTTGAACATTGAGGACAGACAATCAGACATACAGAAAGTTACTTTAGCTACAAACTCAAACTCTTTTACTGTCATGTACACGAATGCACACTGGGATTCATCAAGGTTGTTGTTGGATGCTTAGCAGGTGAAATTTACGAGTGACCTAACCAGAAGACGGTTATATGCAAAGCACCACTACAGTATCCCAAATTTCAGCCTATAAAGAGAAGGTTCACATATGAAAGAAATGAACACAGATAACTAATTTGAGTTTAACACGGAGTTAAGGGGAGCAAGCCTCCACCGAGTGAACATGGGTGCATGCGGATGAGCGTGTTGTTTTCGATTTCATGAGATTTATTTCTTTTAAGGCGTTTCCACACTACATTACCGCAACAAGCAGTCTCGTGCGAAAGATAGAGTGGTGGTTTTAAAGAGAGATGTGACCATTTCAATATGTTGCCTCTGCCGCAGCAGCACTGCACGAATGTTCACTCACAACATAGTTTCAGCATATCTGGACCCCTGGCCAGGGACCCAACAGGAAGCACAGGCCTGCTGTTGACGAGCGGCAGCTCAGATTCGCCATCTATGAACGTAAGCCAGAAGAGAAGAACGTTTAGCTTCGGGCGGCTTATCAGGGAACGACTTTCCCTAATCAGGACTGCTGAAACTGAAATATTATCGAGAAATCAATTTCCACTGCTGCCTCTTGGACAACATTCATTAGGAGTAGGAATCCTTCGCTCTGACGCCACGGATCCATAGCGTTCCCGCCGTTCATACCCTAGGTGGAATAACTACTAACTAACCGAGCCCATTTTGGTATCGCACTAACTCAGCCATGAGGTAGCGTTCCTCAGTTCCGTGGTGCACGGTGGCCAACAAAGACCAATGCTGTCGTACAATTCGTTGGATACAAAACAAAGACTCAGGACAGGGCCGACTAGCGCTGATTGGTCCTCCCACTGCACCCAGTTAAAAAAACCCACTGCACAGTTAAAACAAGCACTAAATTTCGCAAGTAATTCCCCTACGTGAAACAATATCTTAGTACAGTAGTCATGTTTAGAATGCTTGAATGAATAGGAGCTAAGATACAATTCACATGAACGGATATTGTCTGTAGTGCTGACTACAATCTATTTATGTTCATCACCCTCCTGAGCTTCAACCTTCTGAGCCCCCGATCTCTGCCGCGTCTGCGTCGTGGGGGTACCCTGGCCACGGAACAAGCGAAACGGCAGAGGCTCCCCCCACCCGGATCGCCGCCGGACGGAGCCCCTTCCTCCACATTTTTTTCAACCTTCTGAAGCGTGACTCATTTGTGGCGACGCCTTCCTCAAAGAGAATACAAAAAAAGCTCAACATTGGCAAGGCGTTACAAGAATTTTCTCTGCTATTGGTGAGTTTTTTCAGATCACAAGTTAAAAATAAGTACTATTCAGTTGTGTATTTTTCCATCTATTTAAGACTCGCGATAACAAACAATCGCGCAAATAGGCAAGTCAAAACGAATGCATCAATTCCAACGGTACCACATCGAAAATCTTTCTACTATTCGGTTAAAAACTACAATCACCAAACAAGAATTCCTTTTATTTGTCGCTCAAAAATAAACAGCAAAGCTGACAATTCCTCAAATCCTAAACAAAATTACACTGAATAATAGGATATCAATCTGAAGTTCACGTAGACAGATATGAGCACAACCGAAAATTGGCTCCGACTTCAGTTGAACTGAATCAAAGGACACAAAATCGATATTTAATGTTGATTGATTAATGTAAATCACTACGTAATAATTAAATAAACGTGTTAGAACTGTTATCAGTCACTACTCTGAAATTTAAATATTCTCTAAGTGATAGAAAATAAGATACCGAGGCTACTCTCTCGTTTCTCACTAATTAAATAATTAAATCCACTAATAGTCTTTTATTAAAGTACTTCCAAGTAGCAGGTGTCATGAGCGTAGAAATCTACATAAACTAGCATATCAGCATGTAAAATAATGTTCTATAATATAACTAGTCAGCATGAATTTCATATTCAGAACTTTGCTTAGAAATATCGTCAAATTCTATGGCGACGACCACGCAAGCCTAACAGACACAGACACAAAAAGGACACTAGATACTATAGAAGTTTAATGAGTTCCAGAAATTTAAAGAAATAACTTTTATCGCTTCACCACATTTCGGACTCCATTTACAAATTTTTGTACAATAAGTCTATACTAAAGTACAGACTACGATATTAAATTTGATCAAACACACAACGCACACTTCAAATTTTACCTGTGTCGATATTAGGTTTGCTTATGTTTCTAAATTAAATGGAAAGTTGCGAAGCTAGAGTTAATTAGCATAGCTTTCGAAATAAATACTCTAAGAAATCCTATGGAAAAAATTGAAATTCATAGCCAACACGACGGCTTGCCATTGGATTCTTTAGAAGCACAAAAATCCCAAAGTGATTTAAAAGTAATCAAATTCTAAACACAATAACGAATGAAAACCTACACTGAGAACGATTCAAATACACACGAGACAGCCTTTTTACAGTGAAATCATCAAGTGAGCCCAAATGAACCAATCAAAGATTTTACGCCGTTCACTCGAAAACATTCCCGGCCGCCAAACCTGCTTGAATAAATTGCTTAGAACTGCTCAATTCCGAAGCACGTTCTAAGGCTGATGGCGGCCCCGCTGCAACGTCATGTAAGAAAATGGCAAGATCCACAGCAATTAAGTAAAGCCCGATTTATAAATAAGAAACGAAATAAATCTTCGTAAAAAAGAAGACGTGATGCACTATTTTTTCGAAAACGAAAATTTGAACACGTGCTGCACTCTTAGCTAGGATAAGCGTGCGGTCTTAACTCTCCGGTTGCAAACGATAACTGTCGTTACCAGGCCATTATACAGGAATAATATTTACGACAATGAGCGAACAAGAAATAAACTGTGATTGCAATACTTGCGCGCAGTGCATGATGACTAGTTCTAGTAGTTTTATCATTGATACGAATATTAGAATGAACAGTTCGTGTGAAACTGATAAATAAATGCATAACAATCGTGATAATGTCATTGCACATCACTAATTATTTAATCTCACATTACTAAACCGTACGTCGATGGCATACAATGGAACATTTCACGTTGATTTACTCAATAGCTTCACTTTTAGAACAGGGTTCTATACATGAAATACATGATAATGACGCACATATGTGTACTTGAACTTTTAGAATTATGGTCTATGCATGAAATACACGATAATGAAACATACGAGCACATGCAAATACACATGCTCATCTCAAGTCGTTCAAAAACCATTATTTTATAGCTCCTGATGTCTTTTGACAGGTCAACACACTAGAGTCAAACGTTCTACTAACAAAGCAAGTGTATCAGATCAGTTATACAAGTATTCATTGAAATCGTCATTTCATCTTTATGCTATATTCATATAACCAACGGACCAACACTCATCTGAACCAAATAAATCTAACGTCAAAGTAGCATTACTCTCGAAAAAACACCACGCTACCCGCTGGTAAATCTATGTCTTTAGGAAAAATACTAGCGCCAAGACGAAACATGATAAAAAGGTCATGTAACAAGAGAAATTCAACTGAAAAAAGAGATGGCAATTATTAAAATTTAGGCGCTGGCGGATTAGTTCGAAAACATCATGTTCCCAACTGAAAAGAAGTAACAATCGAGTTAACTGTTATAAGAGGACTCCGATAATTAAGAAGAGGAGTGGTAGGAGGTCATTTTTACGAGCATAACCCTCCAGGCATAACGTTAAAGCAACGTTGATTAAGAATTAATTTCTTGGAAACAACGTTTAATCAACGTTATTTCAACGTCAGATACCTGGTGGGAAGCAATATAGGCGCGCCCGACCTTAACTGTAGGGCAGTGACTGCGCTGGTCTGAGGCGCCGAGAATTGTAGCTATTTATTGCTGAACTTTTAGCTGCCAAGGGGCTGCACTATCAAAAATAAATGACTTCGTAGCTCTGTCTGCCATTCATTGGCGACTTCTCAGGCTAAAGCGAGTTTTGATAGTACGTCCCTTCAGATTCATCCAGATTTAAGTAACGAACATTTCCTATGTGATATCCACCAAGACGATAATATATGAGGTTTGTAGGAACATCTTATAGGTTCAGTCTAACAGCGAGTGAATCAATTTAATGAGATTTCAGAAAAACTTTAAATTTGTTTAAAGAGCTATTTTCTCTGAAGCCAACTGACGTGAAAGTAAAACCGGAATTAGCCTCCCCGATTCACAGCACAAACGCATGTAAGTCACTGTTTATACTTCAAGTTCTCAGAAGATTTGGCTCCAGCGTCACTGACCTCTGTATGTATCACCAAAGTATAATGAATTAATCTCAAATTATAGGAGGCAAATGCAGCTTGAGATTCGCAATAGATAGCTGAACAATTTTCAGCGGCGCTCACCTTACATCAAACCACAAATTCTTAACTGATACAACAGTAGCAAAAATATTTTAAATTTCACACTTTATAAGCATCAACAGCATAAATGACTGGGAGACGAATGTACAAGAATGTATTTAGACAAAATAGTAACTGAAAAAGTGGATTATTTGATATTAATTAATTAACGGCGTATGAGTGATACCTAGCAGGAGTAGTTTGTTCTTTGAATGCTGAATGAATTGGTAAGTATTTTCAGTGCATATTCTTCTGTCACCATCCAGAACGGTTTAAATTAGAGAAACACTAACCAGCTTCTTCAAAGGATTATTCTCTCTCTTCTCCACATGCAGGAGAGCAGAATATTGCGGCGAATCAAGAGGAAGGTAACTACGACTGCCTAAGGCCGTTGGACTCGAAAATATTTAATCACAATCAATGAACTCCTTTACCGATCTCGAATATGATTTGCTTGTTTATGAAATATTGTCAGAACAATTTTCTAATATTATTACTTCTAATCTTTTCATAAACTCCTCCAACACTAAGCGTGTAGGGCAATAATAGCTTGTGGCGTTCGAAGATCCTTTAAAAAACTGCAAGAAAATTAAAAGTGATAGAGTAGGATGTTGTTCTTTGTACACCTAACAAGAAAAATATTATGAATGTCGCATTTTTGGAGGCCAGGTTTGTTGGTGAAATCGTTTTTAAAACAAATTATGACATTGAAGCAGGAAATTTAGCGGGTTGAATATCATGATTATTCGAGAGAACGGTCAATTTGCCATAACCTTCAAATATTGGATATCTTTATTACATTCAAGCGTCTGGTTGTCACCCAGACTGATATTCAATGTGATCCACTCCAAATTGCAAGTAGTAATTATTTCAATCAATACATACAATCTTCATTTATATAAACTAAAATATACCGTCACGTCCATAGCAACCACTTCTAGTCATGTACTGTATACAGAATGCGCGAAAATAATAAAAATGCTTCTGATTTCTCCAAAGAAAACTTCTTTGACATTTCAATCCGGTACGACTCACCAACTTCAATTACTCGGAAACAGTAAGCTAAAGCTAAATAAACACAAATAAAAATGAAAAAATCAAGGGGAAACACTTTCATGGCTAGCTTGCATAACTTGTACACCAGTCACTTCTAAGCTGTATAAAGCAGTTATCCACAATGTTACAAAATACCTTAAGTATGTAACCAATAGCATTGAACAGAAACGCCAAGAACCTTTAAAAATTCATTGGCGTTACTGTTGGATCGAAATTTCAAGACAAACTATTTATAAAAATGTACTAACAAACTTTTCACCATGTTTCAACTAAAATCGTAGATAACATTGATAAAGGGCGCTACGAAAAATCTCAGAAGCACCGCGAAATTTCTAAAAATAAAGAATTGACGGTAGAGACCGCTGGTAGTCACAAGAAAGAAAGTAACACGCGCCGGCGAAGATATTCTAAACGTATTGGCTAAGTTTGATCCTTCAGATTTCTCAATGTAAACTTCGACAGAACTACGAATTAATCAGGATCCATTAGAGGAAAACATTTCGAAAAGAAATGAAGTTTAAATCAATATTACATAGCAGAACTGGTGTAAATAAGACGAGGTCCACAGAGTGTGCAGTCGCGACATGAGCTGCAGTAGATGTCCGTGGCGGGAGCACTCCAGCTTCTCTCATTCATTTGCCTAGGCTGTCTTGGAACTCTGAAACAAATACACTGGATCTCACTAGGGTCTCTGCATTTTAAACCCCATTTGAAGTAAAAAATGCGAGGGTATTAAAGGTATTAAAACAATTTCTATCATCGAAAGGTGGTGAAAAATAAGACAAAGTTGACATAATCAAGGATTACGATTCAGTGTTGAAACAAGATTCAAGGTCTATGCAATTCATCACTACAGCTATATTATGCGCTAACAGGTCAATTTCCCTTCAGGTTAATAAAGAAAAATGTCATGAACAACACACTGCCCATGTGTATCACATGGCACAATAAATACCAGCAATCTAAGCACCTTACGAATAAATTTTCATAAACAAGGAGTATTCTATCGCGCGAGGCTACCGAGAAGGCAATTTAACAAATCAAGGAACATCAACAAAGTTGGCAGGACAACAAACATTATATAGAAATAATAAAAATGTTTTGCGTGGCAATGCTGTAACTTGCAGCTTATAAAAGCAAAGCCAATTTATGACAAATTCATTGGATTTCTACTTATCATTGAACAGTGTTACTAATTTGTAAGACCTCGGAGGAGCGTATTAGTTTAAGCCCAGGGAACTCGACTATTATTAGAGAAAAAATGGGGGACTGAAATGGAGCCACAAGCAGCGCAAGCACTTGTACTTTGTCAGGAAAAAGTTAGGCGAATGGGATGTGGAGAATATATGTACCGGATTTTCCATGAGCCTTGAGGAATATACCTATATGCATATATATAAAATGGACTTTTCGTGTGGCTTGATGCATATAATGGACTTTTCACGAGGGTTATGGTTTGTAATGTATTTTTATGAAGCTTAAGGTATATGATGAATTTTTGAGGATTTTTTCATGCCTTTAAGCACATGATAGGTACCTACTATATACGGTACATGTCTGTGCATAATGGGTAAATTTAAATTGAAACAAGGACAAAACAATGAAAAAGGCACTAACGACGTACCCAATTGTTCAAACAAACCAGCTCATACCGCTTCTAAGTTTAAAATCGATTCCACTGAGACTGTTAGTAAATGAACAAAGTTCGAAAAGAAAGACAGAAAAGAGCCTCACTAATACCTGCTGGAGCGGTGTTCAGAGAAACATGACTACATCCTTACTCTTAGCGTTGGCAAATATAAGGTCTATGGCGGAGAACACATCTTCTGCAGGCTTAGAAGCGTCCACTTTCTGGTGAAGACCTGCAAAAAGAGGAGTCGCTAGTTAATTTGCCATGAATAAAAATGTGTGAAGATGACTAGTTGTTCTGTAATTTGTGATTAATATGGAGCGAGTCCCTGTGAGAAACATTACCTCTGCATTGAGTTCAAGTGTTAACTCTGCACAAAGTCCAAGCAAATATTAACCAACAAACTAGCGCTTGGAAATAGATCTACAGGCAAGAAATCCCACCTTAACGAGCATAGTAAGCAGCATGTGGCTGTCTGTGATGGTGAAAATCCTACCTTTGCGAGTATAGTAAGCAGCATGTGGCTGTCTATGATGGTGAAAATCCTACCTTTGCGAGCATAGTAAGCAGCATGTGGCTGTCTGTGATGGTGAAAATCCTACCTTTGCGAGCATAGTAAGCAGCAAGTGGCTCTGTCTGCCGATGATAAGCATCAAGACGGAGTCTAAGAGACTCTGGAGTGTCGTCACTGCGGCGTACCAGCTGCTCTCCAGTTACCTAATAAGAAATATGAAAATATTCTATTAACAATCTAACAAAAGTCATAAATTTAACGAACAATTTTAACCTTTTTAGAACACATCTGAACCAATTTCACACAATCTTGAACCTCTATTCCACATATACTCTTTACTAACCACTAAGCAATTGAGATTTGTTTACTTAGGTACCTATATCAGGCTATCATAACCACTCACTGCAATCGACACACAAGAAACTGGTTAGTGACTCAAGCAAACAATACCTAGCATTTTTAATAAATTGATTTGCACTATCGATTTAAACATGAATTATGAATTACATTAAAAACATGAATTACAGTATATTTAAAGGAAATAACTGCATATCAAAGGAATCGATGGTACATCAAGACATGTATTGCTCATTCTAAAAATGAGAAAATCCTTCACCTGATGAGAAATGTTACACCTACAAATCCTATTTCATCTCCTGAAATGTGGTACAAACATCATCAATCATGGGCTTCTTAGGGGGGTAGAATTCCTCATGGTAGGAGCGGCCAGAAGCAAGATGGAAGAGCCGTCCTGTTATGCGACGGATAAGCAAACTGTCATCAATGCTGAACTCGATGACCGCGTCCAGTTTCTGTTTGCGGTTGGCCAACATCTCATCTAACTGCAAGATAGATACAAAGGTAGGAATTTGGGTGACATAATTTAATTATAATAGAATAACAAGGTACAAATTTTGGCAATTTTTATTCGTCATTCAATATTAATACACTTATATCTAACTGTCAACATGAGTAATTTAATTTCCTTTAATGACTTTACAAGAGGAAACTTTGTCAGGATGTAAGAATAGGATACAAAGAAATGAGTCTAGAATACATTACAACATGTTGGAATAAAAATTTTAGTCCTGCAATGCTCACTTAAACAGGTTTAAATAAAATTCTCAGACTTTCTGTTAGGATAAGTTTGTGCCTTTTGGTATAAATATATATAGTATATATATATATGTTTGCCAAAAAAAAGGACATGATCAAGATAAAAGTTTGAAAGCCACCTTCTCCGCCTGAGGAATGGTGCGTGGGAAGCCATCCAGAAGAAAACCTCTTGCACATTCAGGTAGATCCAAGTTACGCCTCACCAAAGAAACCACCAGGTCATCACTCACAAGCGCTCCTGCAAATATTATATGGATAATTTGGATGCTGTAATTAAAATTTAATCGTTCATTTATGACTTGTAGAGTAAAAAGTTTTTAATAAATAGTTTTTAGTGGAAAAATATGGAAGCATGAATAGTGCAAAAAAATTGTTTACATAAATTGAGACTACATGAGCAATAGTTCAGCTTAAAATCTGCACAAGCTGCAAGCCAGTGAGATTTGTCATTGAGTCCTGGGACATAAAGTGGACAAACTTGAATTATATCCCTAATCAGCATTTCTGATTTTGGCAAAATTGACCAGTTACTTTATATATGTATATATTCATATCTATACTTTTTAGAGGTGGTTCTGTTGAATTTCAACAACAAATGGTAAGCATTATTCATATTTTATTTTTATTGAAAGTCACTTCATGCCTCAACCATAAATGAGATACCCATTGTCATGGATGTACTGGTACTAGAACACCAAGTGCACCAAATTTAGGAACATAAAGAAAAACAAATACCTAATATAATCTGCCATTTATAATAAAAGATATCCAGAATAAATGAAAAATGATCTACCTGTATTGATGATCTTTTTCAAGGTGTTCCCAAGCTCTGATTCAGAGCTTATCTCTGCTCTTAGCATGTCACCAGTGCTCAGGTGGCACACTCCATAACGCTCCTTCAGAAGAGGTGCCTGAGAAAACAGAACCTTTGTTAACACCAGAGTATAATATTATGCATTTAAAAATTACTTTCTAAAGACAACACTTCTAAAGAGGCCTGTGTCTCTGATGTTACACATGTACAATGAATTTCTTATTTTATTTTTAAATATTAAAAAAATTATTTTTAAAATTTTTTTAATATTATAAAAAAAATTCAAATCATTTATTCTGTCATTTGATTCACGTATTGTTTCTAACTTTATGCAAGTATGCAAAATTTCAGATTGATTGGACAGGTAGAAGTGTGTTCAATATACATTTTGAAATTAATGCAGCTCATTTACAACACTTGTAATTTATTTACAAACAACAACACTTGCAGTGTTTACAACTCTTCTCTTTAACTATATATATACACTTCTTGTTGTCTGTTTTTTTGTCTGCTACAAATCTTAAAATATAAAAACATAGGATAAATCCATCTTCTAAACTAAAAATGAGTGATGGACTATATAAAAATTTCTATAGAAGCAGGACATCAGTTTCGATCATCAACCTGAAGTCTACAAGGAATTCATAAGCTCTAACAGCTACACAATTGAAAAAAAATAGTGAAACTTAGTGCCTTTCAGTCCTCCACTAATTAATAACTTGCCTGAACATAAAAGATGAAAACTTCAAAACCTGAAATAATTATTGTTCAAGGAGAATCAAGTTTGCACTGAAACTATATATCAGATGGTATATATAAATATTACCATAAGATAGCAGAATAAGCTTATTTAAACATGAGTGGTTAATGACCAGAGAAATCATTGATTTAAATTTTCAGGATCGAACAATATTCTTCAGTGGACGTTGGTTGATAAAAATTCAGGTTCGAGGAAGTAATTTAATTTATTAACGATGTTTCGAATGTGACATCATTCATTTTCAAGTTATAGGAAGCATTGAATACCGAAATTTTGACGGAAATAAGTACATGATACACGTAAATATGATACAACACGAAAATTTGGAACAGTGAAAAAAATTCCGAAACAATCTCAAAGTTCAGAAATCCATAGAGATGAGGGCTTCAGCTATTGTTGGTCGAATATTTTGGTTCACTGCACGATGAAGATGCTGGTGTGTTTCTCCAGCACAGTGAGAGTTGTTGTCAAGGGTGTCAGGAAGCCTGTTGAATTCATCACGGATCATGAGATTAAGTTGCTCGATGGTAAGACTTTGAGACCTGGTCTGGTTGCGAAATTGTCTCAGGTGGCAGGAAAAACAGCTGCTCAATGTCGATGAAGTTACTACAGTTACTCTAATGTAGTCCAAAAGATGAAGAAGTCTACAACCTTCTTTGAAGCAAAATTTATAGATCACATCAGATTCTTGAAGAACTCCTTCTTTTTTGAAGGGGCCGTTGCTGGGTACAGTTCGGTATTTGACGTCATTGTCAAGGGTGTCACAGAGCCGGTTGAATTCTTCACGGATCTTGAGATGAAGTTGCTCGATTGTAATACTTTGAGACATGATCTGGTTTCGAGCTTGTCTCAGGTGGCAGGAAGAACAGCTGCTCAATTTCATTGAAGTTAATCCAATTAGTCCAATGTAATCCCAAAGATGAAGAAGTCTACAACCTTCTTTGAAGCAAAATTTAAAGACCACACCAGATTCTTGAAGAACTCCTTTTTCGAAGGTGCCGCCGCTGCGTATAGTTCGGGGTTTGGCGATGTGGCCATGGGTGTCACGGAGCCAGTTCAATTCATCGCGGATCTCGAGATGAAGTTGTTCGATAGAGAGACTTCGAGACAATTCGAAATAAATTTCCGAGTTTTCAAATTTCACATTTCGGAGTTCACTGTTTTGGTGGGATTTTTATCGGAATTAGTTTAGCTCTGCGTCTCACAGTCTTCATTTAATCTCTTGCTGCCGGGTCATGGGTGCAGAAATTACCATAAGATAGCAGTATAAGCTTATTTAAACACGAGTGGTTAATGAGCAGAGAAATCATTGATTTAAATTTTCAGGATCAAACAATATTCTTCAGTGGACGTTGGTTGATAAAAATTCAGGTTCAAGGAAGTAATTTAATTTATTAACAACGTTTCGAATGTGACTGAACCTGAATTTTTATCAACCAACGTCCACTGAAGAATATTGTTCGATCCTGAAAATTTAAATCAATGATTTCTCTGGTCATTAACCACTCGTGTTTAAATATATATATATATATATATATAATTAGCAGGGCAACATGAAATAGACTTACTTGTGTTCCCTTGCCAGCTCCAGGGGGCCCCAACAGAATGGCATTCACTCCTCTATCATCCACTTTAGGGTCTGTGAGGGGCTGAAGCTGAACTTCTGCTTTTGGAGCCATTGCTAACTAATAATGAAAACCTGTGGAAATTATAAGTGGACAATGCATGAAATTTAATGCATAATTATGAGGCTCTTTGATAATTTGTACAAGAACTCCTCAAATTAACATGGCAGCTAATATTTAAAAAATCTGAGATTTAAAGTATTCTCTAAATCTAGGCACTACTAGGCTCACTGAGTTCCCAATGTTAGATTCCATTGGTTCTATTAGCATGCTTTTTATTCACAAATTGATTTTACAGATTCTGCATTCAAAATTCAGTAGTAAGAATGCTACTTTTTGTAAACAATGGTGAATTTGGCATCCTCATTTTCAATTACTTCACAGTCTGGATGACTGACAAAGAAATAAATAGCTAACCAATGGCAATCATTCAAACAACACATATTTTTACATATAACATTTAAGATGGAATCAATAGAAGCTTTTAGTTCAATTCTACCCTTCACTGCAAGTAAGTTGCAGACCATTACTGATGATATGGTACTAACAATAAATAAATTAATCTAACTGCATGAAATGCTAACTGCTGCCTATTCTGATCATAATATATCCATTACCTGCATTGACCAAAAGGCCAGGGCCTGTTAAGTTTGCATTGATCATTCACCCTCAGCCATATCAGTACCGTAAAATGGGATAACTTTGACCACATTTATTTTTCAAAATGATGCAATTTTTTTACTAGATAAGTTAAACTTAAATTGAAACATGCAAATTGCAGGTCTATACTCTAGCTTTACTCACCATAAATTGCTGGCTCCTGCCTCTCATAGTTTTGATGTAACTTCAAAAAAAGTGATGGTCTTTGTTACCCCAGCTCTTGGGGTTTCTTTGACCGGGTGGTAAAATTAATTTTATTTTTTGATAAAATAACTACAAATAACTCCAGGTTGCGGTGCATTGTAATAGAACTCTTCTAGTTACATATGCAAAGGAAAGTGTCATAGTTTGCAAATGGGGGGCACCGCCTCCCAATGGGCGAAATGTGACCACCTAATGGCAGCCGTGACAGGGTAACATTGACTGATTTGGAAATTAAGTTAAAATTACCATATATAAGACTCTAGAGTCTGAAACATAAAGAAAATAATATTAATAGGTGTATCAAACATAAAATATGTTATATAGGTACCTATGGTAATTTCAACTTAATTTCCAAGCCGATCAATGTTACCCCGTCACAGCTTCCATTAGGTGGTCAAAGTTCCCCCATTGGGGTGCGGCACCTCCCATTTGCAAACTATGACACTTTCCTAAAATTTGTCTTTTGCATATGTAACTAGAAGAGTTGTACTACAATGCATCAAAACCTGGAGTTACTATGCCAAAAAATAAAAAAATTGGAGGGGGTACTCTGACAGGCTTTAAATAATAGCTTTTTTTCATGGGTCACATTTTTAATTTTTTAACCTATTAGATATGCAAACTTTTTAAATCTTTCTATTGTGTTACGTAGCCTCAGTATTAGGCCTTTAATGCCCATTGACAGAATTTTTCTATGTTAATTCGTTTTTGAGTTTTGGGGGTTTTTGTTAAAAAAAACGAAAAGTGGTCTAAGTTACCCAGGGAGTCTAAGTTACCCCAGTTTACAGTACACTCCCATGATTCCATTCAAGTTGTAACTTCTTTAAAATAAACATTGTAAGTAGGTTGTTTTATTGTTGCCTGTATCTTAATGGTTTTTCTAAAAAATTACAAATTCCTTTCTGAATTCAAAAAAGGATAAGAAACTCTTCAATATGGCAACATGCATCCCCGCCTGGTGTTGCTGAGATTGGACTGATTGGTAATACCTTATTGCAGAGAATCCCAGACTAATGTGCGCTGATTAGTCCTAATGATTAATGACTAACGTGCGCTCACATTAGTCCGACCAGTCGCGTTGACAATTTTGGGTCAAATATTTGGAATGAATTTTCATAGGAGGTCCAATAAGCATAAGTTAGCCATTTCAACATGAAAAGGCCATGAACAAAGCTAAGACAATACTTTTCTGTGAGCACTGTCGGAATTCATTTAGATTGTTACCAGTGCGATAGCTAATTTTTAGCTTGTTTCATGTGCATACATTTATATAATAGAAAGAAAGCTTGACCCTTTCCACAATGAAGCTATATTTTCAAAAAAAACACTACTGCAAACTCTTATAACCTCTCTAACACATTTACGGCCGGGTTTGCGGCCTGTATCCAAGTTTCACTGAGCCTAAAATATCTCTAATTTATTAATGCAGCTTGGTGAACATTTGCACATGCGTTCAATAAGACCTAACACTGATGTTCAGGCTGTGAACAATTTTTCAATTTTGTTTTCTTGTGCGAGTTATACGGTCCTAAATTTGCAGTGAGCCTAATAAATATCTTATCTTTGTGCACAAGCTTTCCCGTATTACTAGGAAAAGACAGCAAAGGCGAAAAAAATGATCATGCTATAAACTTTACTGTTAGGCCCTATTGAACATGTGTGCAGAGTTTCATCAAGATGCATTCTTTAATTTGGGAGATATTTAAGGTTCACTGAAACTTGTAGACCTGCTGCATGTCAGGCTGTCAATGTATCCAATAGGTATATGTATATACATGCAAAAATGAAGATGACACAAAATTAAAATAAAAAGTAAATTCTTACAACATTCGTAACAGCATATTGTAAATAAACGTCTTCATTATTAATTAGGTCAATAATTAAATGTGCTAAGTGTAATAAAAAATCAGGCATGCCAATAAAAATAAAATGTCTACCAGCGCCTATAGTAGCATACGGTATTGTCAATAAATAGATACATATTTACTTTTGTTAAGATCAATTCAGATTTGAAGATCTTATGCAGGAAGAAGCACAAAAAATTATCATTTAGCACATTCATTAAAATCAAAGCAGAGACAGAAATACCTGGTCATGCTCACCCAAAGGCATTGTGAGTGAATAGTTTTGTTTCATTTTTAATTTGGTAAAAATAACGTTCAATTTAATAAACTTTTGCATGGAAAACGTGCTATGAAACTTTGTTCTGTAAGTTTGTTTAAAAAAATTCTTTACAGTGTTGAATCATTTGCAAAAAATCCCTCAATGCATAGTTTGCTTTAAATCAGGAATTAAATCAAAAGCAAAATCTGGATGAGCACATGAACATCTCTGCTATAGACAAACAAATAAGTTATTTTTTTCCTGAACAAGCAAACTAAATCTGAACTGAACGTCCCAGCTGAACGTGAAATATAGCTTGATGCTTGTAGTCAGTATACAGCAGCCAGCAGTACGTTTTCAACTCGCACCACGTGTGGTTGTCGTTGCATGTGCTTCTAGACACACTGCCATCTGGAGTGTCAGAGGCACGTTATAACTAAGAAGTTTTTTATATAAATTTCTATCTCTATGTTAACTGAGTTTAATGAATTTTATTTTGATTGTTTAACATTGGCGTTCATAAATTTGTTCTGCAATGCATAGGCTTAAATTGTATGTTTACCATCCCCAAAAAAATGTGTTCTTGATTGCCACTATGTGTAAGGTTGTCAGTTTTGTGGTACGGCTCGTACCCATATCCTTGCTGTCCACTCCTGAGTTTTGTGGTGCGGCTTGTACCTGTATCCTTGCAGTCCACTCCTGTAAGGTTGTAAGTTTTGTGGTGTGGCTTGTACCCGAATCCTTGCTGCCCGTTCCTGCAAGGTTGTCAGTTTTGTGGTGCCGCTTGTACCCATATCCTTGCCGTCTGCTTTTGTGGTCCTCAGTAATTTATTAGGATTCCTTGACATTGCATCCCTGAGGCTGAGACCCTATTTCCTGGAGCTTTGGACCTAATAAACTGTGTGCCTACTGCCTTGTACAGTGGAATTGTGTATCACCCAAAGATCACCAATATATTACAAAAAGTTCCTTGTGTTCATTTCTCCTCTCTCCAATGCAAGGGAATTTAGGGCCAGACCAAAGAGCGACTCTTTAGCCTTTGTGCTAAAACCAATACGCAAGTCACCGTCAAGTCGGCATGCTACCCATAATTATTTCAACTTCGTGGCGGTGTTTCTGGTTACACAAGGTCCCCGAATGATTACTAGAATCTTAAACAAGAACCAACACCAAGGGGCCAGGGGGCAGGGGCTACAAACTAAGAAAATGGTGCTGCAAAGTGCAACTTATCCCTGCAAGCTGCAACATTTCTTCTCGCATCGAATCACCAACATGTGGAACAGCCTCCCCATTACATCGTTGGCCCTCCAAGTATGAATGCATTCAAGAACGGACAAGATTAATTAAGCTATGGAAAAATATATGTTCAGACTTGAAATGCCTAGTAACTTTATCAGTAGTTTTAGATTCTGTGACAAGGTTCACAGAATCTAAAGGTTTGAATGCTAAATTTTTTACTTTTGAGTACTCTATTGACTATTGAGTCTATTCTAGTCAGTCAACTGTGAAGTGTCATGTTGTTTGTTGTGCATTGCCTTTTCTTCGAGAAGTTTCTCCAACTGCCGATGAGTTTCTCCTCAATTTGAAAGCTGAGGTAATGAATAGCCAGAATAGGTGCCATAAATGTTTTTTATATTCAATTTGAAACTATTATGTTGGGAGTAAATAGTATTTCCTTCTGTAGATCCATCCCTCTTGCTCATCTGTGAGTGACGCACGCAATTAACAATCTTGCATGGGGCCTTCTCTGTGTTGCCTGACCTGACTTGACGTTCATACGATCATAGCTACTGCAACTGAAGCCGATTTCTGACGGCCTGCAAACCTGTTTCTAGTTGCATGAAACGTTTTTTTAAGGCGTAAAGCTTTTTTTTATGTGAACCACAAATTCTAGAATTCCAGCCTGCTGGCGCATAGTGCGGTGTTTCGAGAGTCGTGTAAAGCAAACAGAACTCGAGTAATGCATACGTTATTTTTTTATAGTTTTTCATTTATCGATGCGTCCTTAATGTGTTGGAATATACCGCATTTACCCTATGTTTTGGAGAAATAAATCATAGTTTAGGTCAATTACTTTTCATTCTATGATGCCCGATGCACAATTCTATATATAGCATTCCATGTACATTGTAC